CTCCTGCTCCGTCTCCGGACCTTGCTGGACGTGTTCATTGTGTTCAACTCGTGTTTGGTAGTCTGCTTGATCGTTAGGCCGTAGGGCCAGATCACTTGGATCGTTGACCAAAGTGTCTGCATGCATAAGGTCTACACCCCGAGTCGTCTTCCTCCATTAACTCGTCTACCACGTGCAACATAGCAGAACCCCTTCAGTTGCTCGCTCTCAAAATCTTGCAGCTGCAGACGAATGTGTTCGCATTGAGCTTCGATGTTCTTGAACATCCCTCAAGAGATCCTCGCCATCGTCTGTCTCCACTCCGCTGTCTATCCAGTCCGCGTGGACTCGCAGCTCTTCGACTCCGGGTTGATTGCCCATGATATCCAAGATGCCACCACCACCCGCGACGCTTGCCTTGTCCCCTTCTTTTGTCTGCCTAAGCCCATCACGATTCTTCCTTTTCCTCTCTTTCTTCTTGGGTCGGTCGATGGCAGTGGCTGCCGGTGTAGCATCCCGCCCCTTTACGTGAGATAAGTGTGCTTGCCCAGCTCCTTCGCGTGTATCATCCCGCCCCTTTTCGCAAGATTGGTCTACTTGCCCAGCTCCTTCGCGTGTATCATCCCCATTGATCAGCGCCACTGGCCGTACTGCTTCGCTTTGCCGACTACAGGAGTCTCGGGTTACGAGTGTTGGCTCGAGTTCTGGGCTGGGCTCCGTAACATTGTTCGCTCCACGCTCGTCCCTTCCAGTCGTCGTCTTGGGATGGGCTTGACTACCCCCAGCGTAGAGCTTTGTAACGAACTCTTGGAAAGACTTGCGGATGTCGTGATATTGCCGTAGAGGTATCCTATCTCTCGCTCGCTCGGCAGCTTCGACAGTGATGTGCTTGAGTATGAGAGCTCCAATGAGGGTTCTGTCCGCTTCAGAATCTTCGTAGGGGTACTCCGGGTCCGACAAGGCTTTGAGAATTCCTGTAAAAATATCTGTCTGCAACGATGTGGGGAGTCTGTGATGCTTGGATACGCTGAGCTTCACACATGCGTCCAGAGCATCGAAGTCGGCTTCGAGACTGGCTGCGTGATCAAAGGCATCTTGAGAAGGGTGTGGGTGGATATGGGGCCAATTGAGTTGAAGCATTGCGTACAGAGTCTCGGGAGAGATGTCACAAGCCTTGCGGCTCAGATTGAATGGTTGTCCAGGACTTTTATGTCATTGAGCAGAGTACCGTACCTATTGAGAATATTGACATTTTACTCGACGCGTTCTCTCGGGGTTTTCTAATGTGTGAACTCCGAGGTTTAAACCCGAGCGCGCGGAAATCCTCCGCATCTATTTATGCCCGATAGGGTAAGCTCGTACGTTGGGATAGCGTCTGAAGACTGAGGCAAGCCGAAGTTCAGTTCCAAGCTTCTATATCAGGAAGTTATGGCCGGGAGAAAAGGAGAAAAGACGGACCAACCGAGGTTCGAATATTTGAAGGGCAAATATTCAATCAGCAAAGTACATATATATCCAAGTCTACCTCAGCATTCATTCCACATTCTCTGCTCCTCAATCTCCCAAATCCTTCACACTTCCCCTCCTCTCCCATCTCTCACCCAGGTCACCCACGAGGAATACCCTCCGACACCCTTCTCTCCATCGCATACCCAATTGAACAAACCCAGTAAAGCTCGCTTGCACGCACTGTGACTACAACAATGGCGACCACGCAAACTGTCGTCCTGGCCGAACGCCCGAAAGCCGACGTCCAACCTGGGAAGACATTCCAAATGCAACCCCAGAAGAAACTCAACAAAGACGACCTCAAGGAAGGTCAAGCCTTGGTCGAGATCATCTATCTGTCTCTTGACCCTGCCATGCGAGGCTGGCTCAACGATACCCGCTCCTACGTGCCCCCCGTCCCCATTGGCGGCGTCATGCGCGGCGCGGTTATTGCGAGAGTTGTTGCGTCCAAATCCAGCAAATATGAAGTTGGATGTCATGTTTATGCTGCCTGTGGGTGGAGAGAGCAGGCGGTGGTGGAGGACAAGGATGGGGATGTGCAGAGGTTGGATGTGCCCAAGGGTGGGAGGTTGACTGATGCTTTGGGTGTCCTAGGTATGTTATTCTATGCTATCATCACAGCATGTGATATTATGTGAAACAGAGAAAAGGAGCTCAAATTTCGGAACATCATAGGAATGACAGGCTTAGTGAGTATATTTCCGAGTCATCCTCCTCCGATGCGTATCATTCTGCCTGTCCCACACCTGTGTCTTGCAGAATCGATACTGACCCTGAATTGTAATTAGACAGCCTACTTCGGTCTCATCGATGTCGGTAAAGTCAAAAGCGGCGATTTCGTCGTCGTCTCCGGCGCTGCGGGCGCAACAGGAAGCGTGGTCTGCCAGATCGCCAAGCTCAAAGGCGCGACCGTGCTGGGTCTGGCTGGTAGTGATGATAAAGTCGAGTGGTTGAGGGACTTGGGCTGTGATGATGCCCTCAACTACAAGGACGCGGATTTCGCCACCAAATTTCGAACCAGCACCAAAGGTTTCATCGATGTCTTCTTCGACAACGTCGGCGGTGATATTCTTGACTTGGCGCTCTCGAGAGCAAAGCCCCATTCCAGATTCGTGATCTGTGGCGCCATCAGTCAGTACAATAGCACTGAGCCGAAGGGGCCGAAGAATTATCTGATGATCATATCCATGCGGATTCGCATGGAGGGTTTTATTGTATTTGATTACAAGGATCAGTATCCAGCTGCGCGACAAGAGCTCTCCAACTGGCTCGCTGAAGGCAAGATTCAAAGGAAGGAAACGATTGTGAAGGGAGGGTTGGGAGTGGCTGAGAGGGCATTATTGGGGTTATATGAGGGGACGAATACGGGGAAATTGCTTGTCGAGGTTCAAAGTGAGGCGGGGGGAGCAAGTTGTGAGGAGCGCAGGTGGTGAGGAACGAGGGATTACCTCGGAAGCCACGGAAAGGAGGTAAACGTGGGATGCATATCATGATAGGTTGTTTATTTCCGCCAACTTTGAGGCAGGCTTGTACTCCAAATCAAATAGCGCTTTCTGCCGACGATGGAAACGATGACGATGTTACCTTTTTCAATGGCGTTGGGCTGTGCTAGGGATTATTGATTAAACGCTACTTCCCCAGATGCTTCAAAAACACAAAACTTATTTGCGGAGTAGCTACTGAACTGAGGAAATGCGGAAGAATCGGAGACACCAGAACCGTCGACTCTGGAAGCCATGTCAAAGATACGACAACATCTATAAGGGAATTACGCACCCGAAGAACGTTCCTCCCAAAACTTGCTTATGTCGTAAACTCTAGACTCTTATTCAATCTATCCGCATTCGATCTATGGAATATCGTAGGCTTTGAGCCCGTTGCCTTATGCACAAGCTCTGATGTCTGTCTAATGAAGAAGCATGCAATTACTAGAAAACTGGGACACGATGGGGTACCACAATGCCGAAGATGCCTGGAGACAATAATGGTATGAAGTGAAAAAAAATCAGTCAGTAGGTTATGCAGACGCAAAGGTGAGCCACGTCTGATGCATCGCGAGCCAGTGTGCCTGGTAGTTGGCGGCAGTGACGAGAGTAGCTGAATCAAGTAGGCAAGGTGTCTAGGGTTCAAGTCTAGAGCATGAGAATCGCTGATTTGGCATTAAGAGTCGACAGAGTTTGATTCGACAAGCTCTAGCTGTCCATGTAGGGTGCGTCCGAAAGGGTGGGAAGGCTTCCACGTGAAGACCAGATGGCCATGAACCTCGACGGAGCGAATAAGGCTACCAAGGTCTGTGGACGATGTATGGCGAAGGCTGTCGGTAGGGGCCCAACGAATCTTCACGATGCCGTGGTTCTTCTTGCTTGAGAACTTCCTGTTTTATGCGTTTATTGTCTCCACCAGACTCAGCCTCGGGTGATCCATCCTCGGCCACACGCTTTAGTCTGGCTGAAGTACTGAACGGGAAGCCAGTGTCTCTTGCCAATCGGCCGGCTCTGAAGTCATCGATTTGCTGAGGCAGAGTCCCAGGAGTAGGATAATAGTCTAGGGTACCATCAAATGATTTTCTGGCTGGTCGGGCTCCATTTTGATTGCGATCTTAGTCTCAGCGACGGGCTCGGCGGCTGGAGGCAAGAGGGTAGTTGGGAAGCCGGGATTTTTCTTTGCATGCCTCCAGACCAGACGTCCTCGACCACCAGAGGTGTGACGCTCACCGCGGAGAACGCACTATATCTTGGTACATGTACATTGTTCCGTCAGATGCTGCGCAGCGCAAATCCCACATTGAGGCTCGGCAGAGCATGATTCCGAAAGGTGGCCGTAGCCTTGACAAGTTAGGCATCTCTGAAGACCGAATTGACCTCGATCCGCAATATTGCAGGCGTGACGTTTTCCCTGCCAGGACAAACTGTCTGCAAAAGCCTTATTGGCTTTCTCTGGAGGCAAAAACTCTACCATAAGGGCGGTGGTCCCTTTTCCTTCTTATTTCGCAACTTCTTACCACACCAAGCTATGTCATTGATGCTGCTGCTGCGGACGCTGCTATCAGAGTCGTCAAGGAAGTTGGTCTCAGCTAGCGCCCTGATGATAATAGACTTCTCTATCCGGTTCCTAAACATCATACAGTCGATCCTAATATTGTGCATTCTGATGTTATAGGTTTGTTTTGGCAAGGGACCCAGACTTCTCCCAACCTCTTCATGCCATGCTGTTGACTGGATGAGTCGGTCGAGGTCTTCGCGGTGCTCTGCGTCGGCAACAACTTTGACATCGCCACGGTCTAACAAACTTGCGGTAGATAGTCGCACTGAGCCTTTGAACCAGTCGTTGGAGAAGTAAGCTTCAAGCAAAACCGAGATAGCCTCTCCCAAGTATCGGGAGTCCCTACCTCCTATTATATTCACGCTCGCCTGGTGTACAATATTGAGGATGATGTTGGCTGAGTATGATTTGATCTCTACAATATTGGTACCATTGCCAACAGCAATGAGACGATTATCTGCTGCGGTATCAGGCATTTGAGCCATGCGCTTGGCGTGAAGCTCTTGATAGGATTTGCGTGGTCCGTAGAACTGGGTCAGCAGGACTGTATCTGGCGCTCCGGCAGCTGTTTGAGTCCTGATGTTGCCAAGAATAATATTAGTAAAGGTGTCCCTGTCCATCTCTGAAAATTTAGAGCAGTGCCCATTCGACCCAGCTTCGGCAATGCCATTTGTGACGCCCTTTGCACTCTGAGCTCGGAGATTTGCGGGAAGGTTAATGACTCTGGACACGCTGGCTTTCACAGTGTTGTGAACATTGTCAAAGTCGGCCTTCAGACTCGCTGAGTGATCGGAGACGGTTCTGGGGCGATGCCGGCCGGTATCAGGCCATTGACTGTCATTCATCACGGGCAAAGGCGATGAGCGAGTGCCCAGTGTGTTGCATATGTGGTGGCTAATGTGTGGACTTCAAAGGGAAGTCGCCTTCAGGAACACATGTTTACGGGAGCGCGATATATTGCTAGCGCTGTATGAAACGCGTTCTCCTCCCTTACTTAACCTTTCTAATCGTCATTGTAAACAAGAAAATCATACAGAACCGAACAGCATCTCTGCGGGCACATCGTCTATCATCATTCATTTTTTTCTGCTTGCCAATGAAGCACCTCGCTCTGCGGTACCCAGTCAGCCCTACACCCTCAAGACCCTTGATCATGCTTTGCCACTCGATGGTCCACTTCATACCTTGGTGGTCTCTGAACATAACCTCATAGCCTGGAAAAGTCGATCTCAGGAGAGGTATAGACATGCTTGTCCTAAGGAAAGGATGTGTTGCGTCACTCCACTACTTGTTTTCATTCAACATATCTTTCACCACGTACATCGAGCCCGGTTTGCGCTGCTCCATCAAGAAGCTCCGCAAAATTAAGCATTGAAACGAGCCCGCGGTGGAGAATAGACCAAGCTTCTGTGAAAACCTGATGATCTATTCACAAGACCGCTGGAAGACTTCGATGGATCTTTCCATTTCCACTTATCTGCATCGGCGTCATCATAACATTCTCGTTCTTTAGTAGATTCGCTCAACCTGATACCCATCCAAACCTTTTCTATCCTCTGCGGCCGGCCCAGCTGTGGCAGAAAGAGCCTGTTAGCAAAACAGAAGGAGCTTGCTATTACGCGGGCGGAAATAGAGGAGAGGAGTATCCTTGGGATTATGTCGATATATGGTCGGGAGAAAGACAAATGCTTTTCAACTTCAAGGTGGCCCATGCAATTTCAGTCGATAAGTGGGCTTTCTGAACTCCCGTCGACTGCAACAATTTGCTGCGTCAACCCTTTCGTTTGAAAACTTACCAACAAAGACAAAGTCGCCGGCGATTGCAGCGGATATTCAAAACGCAGACGGGTGCGATATCAAATCCTGGCTTGAAGGGGGAGAAAGTGGGCACACTCAATTCCGCGCTTGCCATTTGATTCCAACGAATATTGGGTGTGCGACCATCATTGACTCCGGTTGTGGCACTCTTCCGAGTGCGAAACTTGTGCCGTTAGCGCAATGATTCAAGAACCAATCGTCGAGGGTTTTGGGTTACACTGTAATTCCTGGCTTAGATGAATGTGCCGGCGAAGACGATCTTTGCTCCATTGCCCCGAAAGGATCTCAAGAATCAGTTCACACAGCAGAGGCTGCTTAGAAACAAGGAGCTCTGGTCAGTACTTTCGAAGCGCGCCTAATAAAGGGACCCAAGCAGTTTCAGTCGAAGAAGACACAGCCACACACACTTGGAGGATCCTACCAAGGTACCTAATTCCTCACGCGGCACAACGGCAAGATGCGTACCTTTCTATGATCAGAGCTGGGATGGCCAAAGTGATAGGTAATTATACAACGCCAAGGCAAGACTAACTGAGGGTGTACGGCTAACATGCGTCTAATGCAAGTCAGGCAGCGGATAGAGTATAGTACCTATGCAGTATGCACACGCCGCTCGCTACGCTTATCTTTTGTTGGTTCTTCCCGAGTCTCGCCGCACCACTCCGCCCCTATTTCCCACCAGCCCTTCTCATCTACCCGTTTCTTCACTTCAAGTCCTTTGTTAAAAATTGCTTGCGCTGTAACGAGAGATCTTCGTTTGGACAGCCACAATTCATGTATCCTCGGCGACTGTGCTCCCGGGCACGGTCCGGGCTTCCCCTCTCATAGTTACCGTGTATCGTATTTGTGCCTTTCTCCTAAGTCCGGTTGACGTGCTTATGAGGCAAAGCACGTTTCAATGCTCAGCTCTCACGTTACGTGTCTACATGCATGACGTTGACACCAGCATGAAACGGCAGAAGACGTGCTCGCCGCAGGAGACGTTCTTTTTTGTCCTCTATTTTATGATTATTAAGTATCTCTTCCTTTCCCCGTTTCGGAAATGTTTGCGCTGTGCGGCGAGGGTGGGTGGGAGATATTTTGAAACCACCTATTGTGCTCTTGGAAGTCTGGGAAACAAGCAGAGCGTCGAGAAAAGGGGGAGGGGGGGGTACTTAGTAATAAGATCTTTCATGGCAACTTGAATTCTTTTTCCTGCTGTTTCTATCCATCCTCCGTTTCCTGAAAACGTCTCGAGCCTTTCATTTGACGCTTTCTAAACACTCGATCCCCATTTGTTTAATCTACTTACCTTACCTTAACTTCCTCAACCTCCATACTTGATTCGTCACGACAGTATCGCCGGCTTTTCTGTTCATTACAACAAACATTGGAAGTATCTGCGAAGATCCCAAAAATGTCGGACAACCAAAGCCTCGGCGCTGCATACTACGTCAAACATATCACCGTCCTTTCAGTATTCTCCGGTCTCGCAGCCGTTGCAGTTGTTTTACGATTTTGGGCGAGAAGAATCCAGAAGATGTCGCTGGAGTTGAATGATTATCTCATTGTGCCTGGCCTGGTATGAGCTAGGCTTCCGGATATTAGCATTCGCCCATCTAATTGCATTAGGTCTGTGCTTTAGGGGAGACCGCCGTGAACATATATGGTAAGCCCCTTCCAGAAGCGATACGAAATAAATCTCGCCAGCGTTTGACTAAGAATTTCCAGGGTGTTGCTTTGGCACGGCCAAAGAGATGAGTCAAGAGGATATAATGAAAGCAATCATCTTTTCACAAAAGGTAGGACCTTTCCTCTTGCCTTCAACACCACATTCATGCTGACACGTACATCACCAGAGCCAATTCATGTGCCCAATTATCTGGGTCGCCTCCGTCACGTTCATCCGCGCCTCAATCGTCTTCCTCTATATCCGCATCTTCCCAACCCGCTTTTTCCGCATAGTCTGCTACCTTGTCCTCGCAGTCAATCTTTGCTTCTTCGTCGGTACTATCCTTGCAGATTGCCTTATCTGCCAACCTATATCCTATCGATGGGATCGCACGGTTGGAGGTACAGGATCTTGCGGAGATCAGAAGTCTCTAGACCTCTTCATTGGGATTTTCAATCTTTTTCTCGATGTTACGGCCGTGGTGCTGCCGATGCCGGTCCTTTGGGGTTTGAAAATGGCTGTAGGGAAAAAAATGATGTTGAGTGGCATGTTTGGCATGGGTACTGCGTATGTTTTTCCCATTCGCCAGCCAGTATCCTCTACTACCGACATGAAGCGCTTCGGGACTGTGCTGATTAGCATGATGCTACAGCATCTGCGCCATTACTCTCTACCGAATCTACGACACAAGTACTATTGCAGTCTCCAACGCACAAGAAGCCTACGCTGTCATCGCCATGCTCACCTCCCTCGAAGCCCTCCTCGGCGTCATCAACGCCTGCCTCCCCGTACTCAAACCCATCTTCAACAAGATGCGCGGCACTGCACCCAAAAGAGGCGACCGCTCCGGCGTCAGCGAAATCCTCAAATCGGGCACGATACCTATCTTCATACGCGTGAGCCAGATGTGGACTCTCACATCTCGGAGGGGAAAAACTTCGTCGAGTGATGCGACTTTGACAGAGACTTCCGGGTGGTATGGGGAGAAGGGGAACGGCAAATCTGGTCCGGAGGGTGGAAAGGGGGCAAGTGTGACGACGAAAGAAATTAGTCCACCGATAACGCAGAAGGCGGATAGGGTGCTGGGGATTACGACGCAAGCGATCCATGTAAGGAGAGATGTGGATGTGGAGAGTGTGGCGAGTCGGGATGAGAGGGGCCTAGTTTGTGAAGGGTGGGAAGGGAGGCAGGAAAGGTGGTAAGGGGTATTCGCACTTTGGACTTGGTTTTCCAGAAGTGTTGCTTGGGGTACGCTAATGGGAATATGATATTCGCTAATGTTGATATACGAAGGGATTAATACGTCCATACTGCCATACTTTTCGAACTTAAGCCAGCCAAATACGCTTCGAGCTGCTGATGGGCAGATAAGAACGAAAGGTATAAAGGGCCCAACCGTGACACAACCGTCTCCTTCTCCTGGTGCGGCCAATGCGCTGCCTTCGTCCCCAGATAACAGATCCGCTTCAAAGATGTCACAACATCTAGCCCACGGTAACCAGCAAAGGCAGGCACCAGTCTTGTTTGTTCTTTGACTTTTGCACATAACGGTCAAAGAACAATGCGGCGATGACTTTCCACGTATTGTACATATGCTCTCCACTCCTTCTACTGCTCGATAAAGCTGCTCAGAGCCGTTCTCATGATTACCACTCTTGGCTGTCTCTTTGGACAAGTCGACAACTGGACGCACCCCTTTTATGCGTACATGCGTCTGTTTCGCTAACCCTAATTGGGTAGGTCCTATTGGTGACGCTAGCGCTCTCGCGCTCTAGCGCTTACAGATTCTTGGTATACTGAGTCGTCTCCTTGTATCTCCTGATTCAATCCTCGATATATTTCCAACATTCTGTCTTTAAATGCAGTCACGATTATAAAACATGGAAACAATCACTTACTCCCGTGTCGGCTCTCTCGACATAAAACTCGATCTCTATATACCACCAGAACCGAAGCAAGGACTCGTACCAGCTCTTGTGCACTTCCATGGTGGCGGCATGATCGCAGGGTGCCGCAAGACCCTCTTCTTCCAGCACTGGCTCAAAGGCATGGCTCACAATCTCCATCTGCGGAAAGGAAGAAGTGAATGAATGAGTGAACACCACACTGACACCAACCCCAGATGCAATGCTAGAGCACGGCATCCTCTTCATCAGCGCAGACCATCGCCTCCTGTACCCCTCTACCGCTTTCGACATCATCGCCGATGTTAAGAGCCTCTTCGCCTTCCTCGCTTCCCCCAGCTTCTCCGAGACGCATCTCCCATCAGGAGTCACCCTCGACGCCAGCCGCATAGCCGTCTCGGGCGAGTCGGGCGGAGGCTATGCGACCCGCGCTGCTGGAATCGTTGCCGAACCAAAGCCGAAAGCATTACTCCTGCAGTATGCCCAGGGCGGCCAACTCTTGGATGACCACTGGCTCGCCGTCAAAGACCGCGATGTACCAGACCCCGAAGGAGGAATCGTCACCAAGGAGTCTGTTGCACATCTTCTCAACGACACACAGGAGCCTATCTCCGATGACCCGATGCCATTCCTCGGTGATGACGCACCGAACGGTGACAGTGGGAGGACAAAGCTCTTGCTCTGGTGGTGGCGCACCGGTGGATTCGTCGACGTCGTACTGGGCGTCAACGGGATGTCCAAATTCCTGAGAGGTCTAACCTTGGCTCAGCGGGAAGGTTTCCTCCCCGAAGCCCTGCGCAAGGTGATCTTGCAGACCCAGCTCACGGAGAAGTTCCCGCCGACTTTCTTGCTCCACGGCAAAGACGACAAGCTCGTGCTACCGGCCGAGTCTCAGCTCACGTACGACCGGTTGATGGAGTTGGGCGTGGAGGTTGAGCTGCACATGCTCGAGGGCGCTGGTCATACGTTGATCGATGAGAAGAATCCACCGAACCTTGCGGCTGGGGCTAAAGACGCACAGCAAAAGGCGGTGGGGTTCTTGGTGCACAAGTTGAAGGGATAGCGTCTTATGTATGTAGACCGGATGTCGTCTTTCACGAATTTCAAGCAAGGGGCGTCTGGTTTCCGACGGTCAACATACAATCAAGTCTTATAAACTGCACTTACACGATACCCCTGAAATGACCTTCACTGAAGCGTATGCGGAGACATACCTTGCGTCTTTCGTGTCCTAGACCGCACTTACAGACAGTGAGCGTCAAGTGGTCCAGGAGGGGAAGACGACGCTGGAGTTGGGATGTTAGCCACCTTCGAGTCAGAACGAGGGTAACGACGGACCTTTTGATATATTCTGGCGTTTCGAGTAAGTCCTGCAAAAGCCTCCTCACTTTGGTCGGCACGCGATCGTCTTTCTTTGGAGTGACCAGAGTTGATGGGCCTGAGGATTCATCCTCGAGAAGGTTCTTGCCCTCCCCATTCCGTGCATCTTGTTTCCGAGAACGCCGGGGAAGATGATTACATACCTTGACAATCTTGCTCGCTGTTTTGTCCTGATCCTTGAAACACAAGGAACACCGGAGCTCCAATGACTCGCCTATTCAGGGCTCGTCTTCGTGTTCGGCACCAGTCTCACTTGATAAAGCAGAGGACAAGTCTTGACAGCAGCTGGAGTTGGAGCATTTGGCCAGTCCAACTTCATCAAGTTGGTCGAAGTGCGCTTGGGCCTGCTGTATGCTCCATGCTGGTGGTCTTTCTTCAGATCTCTGCGTCCCTATCGGGGTCTTCATTCCATGATTGCATATCAGACGAAGTTCATTGACCCACTTCAATGCGTTGAAAAAGGTGACGCCGTGAATGTCCTGGCCGGCAGTTTGGAGGTTGTTCAAAGTCATAGCTTTGACTCTTTGATAATCTTCCCACTCTTGCTCGTGGAATTCTAGATCGACAAGGTTATCTCTTCGAGGAGGTAAATCGATGGTGTTCTTGGGGCGTCGCAGGGAAAGACGGTTCACAAGGGTTTTCAATTTTGCAACTGAATCTGGATCGGACCTTGCTTTCCAATTTTGGGCGACCTGGCTGTTGAACACCTTCCGGTTGTCGAACGGGGAGCATTGGAGGAACTTGAACAAGCTGACAAGATCCGTGAGGCGATTTTGAATGGGTGTACCGCTTACAGCCCATCGTCTCTCTGCTTGAAGGGCACAAATCGGGTTTGCAAAGAATTTGGTCGGTTCACGGATAATGTGGGCTACCATGTCAGCGTGACGTGTACAACTTTCGTTCCTTTACACGCCTTCGTCTCACTATCTCCAATTTGCCCTTCTAAAAAGGTACTCGCAGCTGCTGTCTCGCAAAAGGACGCCATTTCAGTCCGCCGGCTTCCACGATGTCCCGCATGCTTTCAAGACTTGCGAGATGGTGAATGCACGAGATGTCCAAAGGCTCGGCAGCGTACATATTCTGACTGCGTTGAGGGCTAGTTCATGCCTGGGGTATTTTGACATTATGAGAGCAAATTTTGCAGTAAGAGGTGTAAAAGTCGCCGGAATGCCATAGTAAGTCGTCTTCTAACGTATTCTGAGCGGGTCCGGCGACCTAGAGAGTCAAGCTTCATGGCTGCAGAATTTTGCTCATTAATTAATACCACCAAAACGAAGTCATCTTTTTTGAAAAAGAATATCTCCACATCAGCAGCGATCAGCGGTAGGGTACCTCGTCGAGTTCCGCCACTTACCCAGACAGTCTTAGCAAGAATTCACACAAAGGCGGCCCAGTCGCCTCCTGTCAGATGGGTGTAGCAGCTAAGAGAAGACCCTCAGAGTTTCACCTTTTTCCATGTTTTTTTAGCGGGAAGTGAAACGAATCACGGGCTCGAGCCCATGTAGCCATACTGGTTCATAGCTGTCTAGGGTCGCAAAGCCAGCGTGCTTGGGAACGGAACTGAAAGTATTCGCTGTTCTACACGCTACTTCAGCCTGCAGAGCCAGTTAAGTCTATACTCATTTCCTTACGGATCATAATCCCCACATTCGTTGCAATCGTGGACCTGGAGCAGTCGTCGAGATGGAATGCTGAAATCGCATCAATAAAGTATCCAACACAAACAAGCGCGCGACTTGGCTTAGGTATTGCAAGTCCGGTGAGGTTAATTTCGGTCAGGTGGAACTCGAGCCTTAATAATATCTACCCTAGGTTTTAAAAGTGCCTACTGGCGGTACTTTCCGGCCTTCTGTGAGAGAGTAGAGGGATTCTGCAGCCCCTGCGCACACTGTTGTTAGAGGTATCTAGTTCGTATTAGGTTCGATTCCTAATGGCGCTGGTACAATGGTGTTGCGATGCTTCTTATTTACTGGCAGCGCCATTAGCCTTAGATTTTTGAAGTTCTTAACCGGGAACAGCCGTTGGTTTGAATTCCCCCGGTGCTTTCATGCCCGGAAAATGTTCGTTGGTTGCTTACCGTCCGGGGCGGACGCCTGTTGGTTGTGGTCGTGTTGTTGGGGGTATTTAGTTTGTGTTAGGTTCGATTCTTAATGACGCTGGTGAAATGGTGTTGGGTGCTTCTTGTTTTCTCACACACACATATTCTAAAGCCTGGATTCCGAGGACAGTCGCGGTCAGTATGTAGTACACGAATTAAGATTGAAGATATCTATTTTGATACGGAATATTAATCTCGGCAAGAGGTTTACTGCGAGACTGAGGGTTTGTTCAGAGGCTGAACAAATCCCTTGATTTTCTCGATTTTCCCTCAACATTCAGGGTCTTTAATCTTAGTCTGTTCTTGATACGAGTGAGAGCTCGTATACGAATAATATAAAGTTCGAACTCCTTCACGAATCAGGGTCTTTTCTATTCCATGGATAAAGCGTCTTATTTATATAGACTCCAAAATCAATCATCATGATTTTCTATGACATTTGACGCACTATAATAGAAATTGTCTGAAACAGATTCTAATAAAATGCACTGCAATAGGGGCTATCAAAGTTACTTCTACTTATAATAAGTAGAAATGCAATAAGCTACTAGTTCTTTGATAGCACCTCATCTATTTCGACTTATAAGTAATGACTATTTCTTCTTCTTCTTAAATAGTCTTATAGTAATGATATCGTATTAACTACATTCGATATAGGGCCTTAACAAACATAAACGGCCGGAGAACGCCTCTCAACAGTGGCCCATAGCCACATAAAACACCTCCCAAAGCCATTACAACGACAATACCTCAGCGCAATCATTATAACTTCCACCTCCACTTCAACGAAGACCTCTCGTAGAATAGCTCCCTCCAAGAA